AACTGTAGTTCCAGGGGATCCAATAGCTTCCTCTGTCCTCTGTGGACACTGCACGGCATGGGTACACTTACACACATGCAGGCATAATGCTCATATACATAATAAAAATAAAAATTTTGAAAGAATATAGAAACTATCTTCTATGTCTATCATCTATCTATCTATCTATCTATCATCTATCTCTATCTATCTTCTATCAATCATCTATCATCTGTTCATCCATCCATCATCCATCTATCTATCTATCTATCTATCTATCATCTGTCACCTCACACAATCCTAGTGTGTTATATCCAAGTTTTTCAAAATATATCAAATGAAGATGTGAATGCAAAGTTGATAAGTTAAATTTTATCATAATGTATGCTTTATTGTTTTGTTTTTAATCCTGAAAATATTGCTTCAAGAGAGCAGTAAGAATCAGCTGAGTTTAGTGACAGTGAGAGACAGTGTGATGTGTCCCCATGCCCCAGGTCAGCCAACACACTGATCACTGCATTTTGTCCACTGAGTGTCCAGTGCTGACTTTAGTACTAGCAGGGTACACGTGATGACAAAAATGAAAGAGAATGACAAGAAGATGCACACCAGGACCCCAGGATCCACACCAGGACCCCAGGATCCACACCAGTATCTTGTTCACAAGAAGCCCTGGCCCCAGGGAAGTGGGGCAGGAAGGCAGGCTGAGGATCCAAGCACCACTCACTGGAAGCAAGACCATTTAACGTCTCTAGCTACCTGTGGTCTGTACACGAAGAGTACAGCAAGAAAAGAAGAGTACTCATTGTTTAAACACAGTGCACCTTGACACCCACACACTAACTGGTGGAGATAGCTGAGTATTTTTTTAAAAGACATAAAATTAGGGCAAAATTTCTTCTAAAAGTAGAAATGCATAAACTGTCATATTTCAGTTTATGAAAAAGAAGTGAAAAAATAAAATTTTTAAAAATGCTAAAATTAGGAAGAATATGGTCACTAGAGGTTAAAACTGTCAGTAGCTGGATATTGAGTTTAGATAAATACACTGTTAATATGTCCAATCACTGTTAAGACACTGTTAATATGATATCTAATCATAACAGTGCCACTGTCATTTAATATGTATTCAGATACAAGAAATACAGTGGAAATTTGCTGTAAAGCTACCTATACTTTTTAATATTTTATTTTTTATTTTTATTTTGTGTGTATGAATGTATTGCCTGGATGTGGGTAGGTGCACCTTTGTCATGCAATGCCTGAGGAGGTCAGAAAAGGCTGTTGGATCCCCTGGAACTGGAGTTATGGATGGTTGTTCGCTGCCATGTGGGTGCTGGGATGAGAACCCGGATCCTCTGCAAGAGCAGTCAGTGCTCTTGACTGCTGAGCCATCTCTCCAGCCCAAAAGCTACCTATTCTGAAGCAAAATTTGATGGAAGGCAGATATTTCTTAGAAATCCTGGATGGGGATTTAGAGATGAGAGACTCAACAGGATTTCATTACAAGATATTTTACCCATAAGGGTCCCAGGCACAGCATCATAAGCAACATGCTAAGACTCTGCTGTATTAGAAAAGGCTGCAGAGTCTGTATTTTCTTTTCTTCCTAGCAACCACTTATTTCTCATCGAATCTTCATGTGAGAAATTTGAATTATTCTTTACTCATAATGGAAACTCTTAACTACAACTTATCCTCTGATGCAGTTTGCTAGCCTCATCATGACTTGTTTGAAAAGCAGTCAAGGTAGAGTAGTATTCATGCTTCTTTCATAGTGTGGCCACTTTCCACGGTCTAGTCAGGCTTTTATTGTATGCAATTATTTATGTCAGGCTATATGGTTTAACCATGATCTGTCAAACCTGTATAACAACGATCCGTGTCCTAGTTTGTTCTCTATTGCTGTGACAAAATATTCTGACCACTACCAACTTGGGAAGGAAAGGGTTTATTCTGCTTACATCTCCCGGGTCACAGTTCATCAGGAGAGGAACACTGCTTACTGGCTTGCTTCCTTGGCCTATACTCAGCCTGCTTTCTTACACAACACAGGCCCACCTGCCCAGGGGTGGCACCACCCACAATAGGCTGGGCTCTCCCACATCATTCAACAATTAAGAAAATGCCCCACAGACATGGCCACAGACCAATCCAATAGAAGAAATTTGCAACTGAGGTTCCCTCCACCCTCGTGTGTAAAGTTGACAACTAAAGCTATCCAGCACAGTTGACCCCTTGTCAACTTGACACAGACTCATCATTATTAAATCACTCCCTTTCTATTTCTTATCCCCCAAGATCTCATATTAACATTACAACATAAAACAGTAAACATTAAAAGTCCCACAGTCCTTAAAAGTTCAAATACTTTAAAAGTTCAGAGTTTCTTTAAAAAAGTATCTTACCTGTGGGCTCCTGTAAAAGCCAAAACAAGTTACTTCAAAAGGGAAGAATCAGGCACACTTAAGCAAAACCAAGGTCCAGTGAAGTAACTCACGGCTGGATATCTGGGATTCACTCATGATTTTCTGGGCTCCAGAGGGCTTCACCAACTTAACTTCTCTGACGCTGCTGTCCACAGCACACACAGCTCATCTCACAGACCCAGGCCAGCTCCATTCCACACCTACTGCGGTCCTTGGTGGTCATCCCACAGTCCTGGCATCTCCAAAAAGCTGGGGTCTCCACTGAAACTGAGGCTACACCTTCACCAATGGCTTCTTCTTGCCTCTCTAGGTACAAAGCCTCAGATTCTCTTCATGAGAATCCTTGGGTCTTAACTGCAACAGAAGCTGCACTTTCACCTATGGCCTTTCCTGGCCACTGCGTGCCAAGCCTCAGCTGCTCTCTATGACCCCTTCACGCTTTCAACACCAGAACCATGCAGGAGACTCTTACACATTACCAATTCCTGCTTCCAGCTTGAGATAGAGGCTCGGGTGCCCTCTGTGTGCTGACCCTGAGGAAATACCTCCCAGAAGACTTCACCTCAGTGATGCTGTGGCAAAATACTCTGACCACTACCAACTTGGGGTGGAAAGGGTTTATTTAGCTTACACATCCCAGGCCACAGTTCACCCAGGAGCCCAAGGTAGGAACTCAGGGCAAGAACCTGGAGGCAGGAGCTGGAGCACAGGCCATGGAGGAATGCTGCTTACTGGCTTGCTCCCCTGGCCCCTGCTCAGCCTGCTTTCTTATGCAACACAGGCCCACCTGCCCAGGGGTGGCAGCACCCACAGTGGGCTGGGCCCTCCCACATCACTCAACAATCAAGAAAATTCCCAACAGACATGGCCACAGGCCAGTCTAATGAAGGAAATTCCCCAACTGAGGCTCCCTCAATCCAGGTGTGTCAAGTTGACACTAAAGCTAGCCAGCACAATCTGTGTATCAACACACTTAGGATTCCTAAGGAATAAAGTGGGAAACGCAACGCCTCAGCGGTCAGAAGAGGGCTTCGGATTCCCCTGGAACTGGAGTTAAGGACGGTTGATAGCCACTACGTGGGTGCTGGGAATTGAACCCGGGTCCTCTGCAAGAGCAGTCTGTGCTCTTAACCACTGAGCCATGTCTCCAGCCCCACATCTAACTGAATTTTAACTTTATCTTCACAATCACCAACCTTAGGGAATTAACCTCTACAAACCTTTGTCTCCTCACTGAACCATGGGGCTGGTAACATCAGAGGGCTGCTGAGAACTGTAGAGTGCCTAGAATATTGCACATCAAATAACCAAGGCTTAATAATATTAGTTCTTTTTTCTGTATATATAATAAGAAAAGAAAAAATCTTTTGGCCTAAGATATAGCCCAAGACAACACAGTCTGGCAACAATACTTGAACCTTGAAGGTCACCATAATGCAGAAATGAGAAGTAACTGCTCCTCAGTATGTATGGCAAATACACACTCCGAGCACAAAGAAGCCTTAAACATGCTGTATTGGCTATTACCTTGGGAGTTTCCTCTGGGACAATACTGTTGTTGTTTTTTTTTCCACTCTAGTTTTAAAGACAGAAGCTTAAATATGAAGGCAAGGAATAAAGGCCTCAAGACCTGGGGCATGCCGTCTGCCCAGCGTAGAGGAAGAGCAGAAAGTCAGTCACAGAAGCGAGGTCACTGCGAACATGATTTATGTCCCATCCTTGAGCATGGCTGGAACACTGCCATGGTATTTGGAAGCCAATGCTTCCCCTGAATAAGCCGGTGGGTCTATGCTAAGCCCTCTCCCTGGACCATGCTGGCTTCTTAGAGATGCTGCCAATGTGGAATCTGTGAGACAGGCCTGCAGCAAACCGGCAATCTGGGATGAGAAAATATCTCAAGGCCAATGAGCATCAGTCCTGAAAAGGCACTGAGCACAATATAAACACCAGGGTCAGACAACAGATATCCAGGATATTACTCAAAAGCACATTAGCTCAAGGCTGACAAGATGATCTGTTCTTGGGAGCACAAAGCAGACTGGATGCCACAGCCATGACCTACTCAAAGAAAAGAGCACAACTCTCCAAGGCCTGTGTCTCGACTCTTTATGCAGGCAGGGCTCCAACAGACTTCAAAGGGGAGAACTGGACCCAGCACACAGGGGGTATCGCTTCCACGATCATATTGCCATCTACATTTGGTGGACTGGAAAATTCAAATATCTCTGATACAAGTTTAAACATATGAAAAAAGAAGTGTGAAATAACTGGGAGATCTGCTTGCAAAAGAAACCTCAGAATTCCAGGAAAAGTAATTAAAATCAGAGCTTCATAAGTTATCACAAAAGTCCCATTGGTGTGTGATCACATAAAAAATGCCGTTTTTCTTTAATAGGCACACTTTGCATTCCAATATATTAAATGACCCCAAAACTTATGTACTTAAGAAATAATTTTCCAAATTTAGGTAGTCTGGAAGGTCAATAACATTTTCTTAAATGAAAAAGAGATCATATCTCTATGTTTTAGCAAGGTTTTACCATACAGGATCCTGATTAATGTGGAAGAGTCAAAATCATCAGGCATACTCACAGGAGGACCTGTGGGAAAGGCGGAGAGATGAGAAAGAGAAGGTGAAGTTAGTGAGGCCGAACATTAAAATGAAACAACAGATCAAAGGGTCATCTTCACACACTAAGGGCTGGGAAGCGGCTTAGAGCACGGTGATTCTTATTTTGTTTTGTTAGATCATGGACCATTTGAGACTACAGAAATGAATTTATACCCAAACATTCATTTGCATATTTTCAGGCTTTCCAAAGCTTATTTATCTACAATTGAGAAGTCCATGAATCTGGGTAAAAATGTCTAACTTATAAAAGTCTAGATAAAATATTAGTTAGGAGAATCTGATTATTTTTGGTAGACACCTTTGGAAAATTGACGTTAAACTTCCTGAGTCTGATAAAATATGCAATTCAGAAAAGCACCCAATATTTGTTCTAAGGCTGTGTTTCATTCAACATTGCTATCAATACATAAAAGACTAATGCTAGCATCTGTGAAGGTCTCTTTAAACAGTAACACAAGCAAGGACGAAGGGCATTTCTATATTTCACACATCACCTGCTCAAAACACCAACTCTAAGTAGCTAGGAAGTTTGGAATTGAATTTTATTTTGTCTGTAGAATTTCATATAAGCCAAAAATTTCTTTTTCCTGTTAATCATCTTTCTTTGGACAAAAGACCATTTCAGTGGTTGTCTGATTCCAAAAATGTCATTTATTTCCCTCAAAACTAACTGGGGGAAGAAGGGGATCACTGGAAGTGGGGGCAGTGGGCGGGCAAGTGGGGGAACCCAATAAATGAGAACAAAGTATTACAACATCCATGTGTGAAGATGTCACGATGAGGCCCATTACTTTGCATGTAACTTAAAAACTTAATTTAAAAAAGAAAGCAATAACGCGTCCTCTGTATGAAACTTTGTTCTTTATGAAGGGATACCTACACACGTTTACAACTATTTAAACTCAGGGAGGTTCAAAGATAGCTTCTGCGAATACTCTTAGAGAAATCAGAAGCTATCCTGCTCTAACTGATGAATTTTCATAATTCTTTTGACTTTGATCGTTACAGTTTTCTAAAAATGAAAAGAGGAAAAGAGATACTCTAAAACTCAGCTGCCTGCACTTCCTGATGAGTGGGGTTTTACTATTTCAATGCTTGGTCATTGATTGTTTTAAATACTGGTGGATGTTTAATGTTTAAATATTGGTGAGCACTGGAAAATGTTTTACTACATGCTCTAGTTACCTTGAAAGGAAGAACTGATAACCCCATAAGAACTTCATCTGGAATCTCATACTTTATAAAAGCACAGCAAGTGAACTCGCTTATTCGGTATATCTTGGTGTCAGAACTATTTTAATTTGGCTTGTTCTGTTTTACTTTACCTATAGAAATTTGTCCTACAAGCAAGAAAATACTGAAGGAGGTAGTTAAGACAATTAGATCTATTTCAAGTTCTTTGTGCATGTACACACACACACACACACACATACACACACACATTGTACAACCCTGGCCAAATCACTTGACTGCTCTGCTTCCTCAACAACAAAATGGAAAGGTGGGACTAACGATGGCTATACGAGGCATTCCACTCTCATCTGTAAGGGATGAGAGTAAAAGCCGCCAGAACTGAGCCAGCTGGATAAAATGGTGAAGCTTTCCATGACATGCACCCCAGGGTGCTAAGGAAACATTTTCCCAGAAGACCCACACTGACTGACCAACCCACAGAGCTGAACACATGGGTGATACTGTCATACTGTGTACAGCGGAGAAATCCACCACTGTACACAGGACGGATGGATTGAACTTGACCAATAAGGAAGCCATAACTGGGGGTTGATGGTTACTAAACTGTAGTGGGCAGTGTGTGGCCAATGCCTTCAGACAGTTTGTTGGAAATAAGGATTTTTTTCTTGAATTCTATACACAGAACAGAAGAATGAAACACACACAAAACTTCCAACAAGGAAGAATTACCATCAATTAGTGTCAACAGACAGAACTACACCAGGATTTGAACAACACCAAGCAACTGGGAGACACTCACCAGACTCTCCTCTTCGGCCCCTTTTCCCTCGCTTCCCTGGAGGACCTAAAATGGAAAGGATCATTTGTAAGCGTATTTCGTCCTTTTCTGGTATTTAGATTCCTAGCATAATACTTCTTTATCTGTTGTCATTGCTTTTAACCACCCGCTTCAAGAAGGAGACCAGAGGTTTATAAAGGTCAACACTGTATTTCAGCAAAGCTAAGTTCCACTTAATTACCAAAGCTGGTCTAGATCTAATCACCTGCTCAGAAACACTTGAGATTCAGAATTTATGCTCATTCCACTTAGATGTCATCAATATAAGAAAGATTTGCTAAGCAAGCAGCTGAAGTTTCCGAAAGAAAAGCACCAAATTTCAATGAGTATGGTTTCATGGTGATTCTTCTGATAGTGTTTAGATAGCAACTGATTAAATACATACATAGAAAGGGAGCACATCCCAAAAATATTTCTATTACATGTGAATATAGTGGAATTTCTTTAAGTATCACTGAATAAACTCATGACCTTTATTTTTATTTATTTATTTATTTATTTATTTATTTATTTATTTATTTATTTATTTGAGACAAGGTCTCTATGTAGCCCCAGTTGGCCTAGAACTTGCTAGATAGACCAGGCTGGCCTCTATCTCACTATCTCACAGAGACCTGCCTGACTCTGCCTCCCCAGTGCTAGGAGCAGAGGCATGTACCACCATGCCCAGCTCCCATAACTCTTTTAAAGCACTGTGTTTAGGTAGTAACCTTAAGTCTGGTTTTGCTATAGAGACTGAATCACTGTTACTTAAGGAACAGTTGGTCTTAATGGTGGTGCCATCTGAAAAAAAACTTAGAGAAAAGGAAACCTTTTATTGCACTGAGCTCCCTGTGAAGACCATCAAGCTAGTATACATGAGAATTCATGAAGATTCTAGCCATTCACAGCTTCCAAGCCATTGTTCTCAATTATACAATTTCTATCCTCATTTCCATGGGTAAAAATAGCATCTACTGAATTATGGTTCAGGTAAGCAGGGGAGAGTAATTAGCCTACAATGAGGATTGATGGCTTATAATATTTTCTGGGAAGGAAAATAAAAAAGAGCACTGCCTGCTATTAAAGAATGAGCTGCTGAGTAGGGCTGATGACTTCTAAATTCCAGAAAGTTCAAGACACAAGCAGAACAGCACAGAGACAGCCAGCTGTCATGGGGATGCTGAGCTACCAGCTCTAACCAGACACTATCATGAGCAATGGAACATTAGTGGACCCACCCAGTTTCCCCTCCAGTCTCACATGGGCAAATCTGGCCATCTGTGTTTGTAACAATAAAAATAGTTAAGCAATAAAAACAACTGAAGATGTCAGAAGGAACAGCTTTATAGCAAAATCCAAAACTATCATCAGAAATTTGGATTCCTTTCTGCATTCTGGAATAAAGGGGGATTTTCATCCACACTCAAGTTATTCCTGAAGGCACAGGAGAATTATACAAATAGGTAATAAATATGGAATTCACTATGTAGACCAGGCTGGCCTCAAACTCTCAAGAGATCCGCCTGCCTCTGCCTCCCAAGTGCTGGGATCAAAGGTGTGTGCCACCATGCCCAGCCTGACATTGCTTTAAAATAGTAAAATTTATCAACTTAACTTGCACACATATTTTAAATTTTTTTATTTATTATTTTTATTTTATGTGTATGTGTGTTATGCCTGCATGTAGGTAAGTGCACCCATGTTGTGCAATGTCTGCAGAGGACAGAAGAAGCTGTCGGATCCCCTGGAACTGGAGTTATGGACAGTTGTTAGCTGCCATGTGGGTGCTGGGGCTCGAACCCGGGTCTTCTGTAAGAACAGTCAGTGTTCTTAACCACTGAGCTGTCTCTCCAGTCCCCAACACACATATTTTAAAGAGACTCTGAAATAAACTAAAAAATACTTGAAAGTTGTATGGCGGGAAAGTGATCAAAGAAGCAATGATATCTTTAAAAGAAATTAAAAAAAAAACCCAACAGGAATACTATTCTGACCATGTTTGCTTTAAATATCCAATCATAAATCTTACAGAAATTAATGAAGTACAGCAGAAACTTTAAGGTAAGGAAGCCCCGGAAAGGAAACGGAGGACATCTGAGAGGTAGAGATCTACTGCGGATGACAGGGTTTTATAAAGAACATCATAAGATGTGAGAGATGCGGGCGTGGTGGCACAGGCCTTTAATCTCAGCATTCGGGAGGCAGAAGCAGGAGGACCTTTGGGAGACCAAGGTCAGCCCAGTCTACAGAGAGAGTGCCAGGCCAGCTGGAACTGCACAGTGAGATCCTGTCTCAATAAACAAACAAACGAACAAACAAATAAAAAATAAATAAATATTTGCAACAAAATGGAGCAAAATCAAGTTATGAGAAGCTATGCCGTATTGAATTTATGAAGAATACTGGGTTGAGGAAGAGCACATTTTAAGGACAATAGGAAGCAGGAAACTCCAGTGAGCATTACACAAAGATTGGAGAACTAAGGGGTTATACAAAATGCTCAGGAAGATCTAGATAATAGTTTTAACACAGAGAATGAAGTTTGAAGACATTGTGCAAATAAAAACATTGGATCTGGTGTCTACATTTAAAATCGAAACCTTCAGATTTCATGATTCCATTTTTCTTCACAGTAGAGTAATATTGTGTGTATGTGCCACATTCTTATCCATTCATCTGCTGATGGGCATCTGGGTGATCCCGTTTCCTAGCTATTGTGAAGAGATCAGCAATCAACACGAAGGAGCAAGTGTCTCTGCGGTAAGAAGTAAGTCTGGTGGCTATATGCTAAGGGTAGTGCAGCTGGGTCATATGGCAGTCCTATTTCTTCCAGACTGATTTCCAAAGTGGCTGCACTAGTGTACACTCCCACAGATGGTGTATGAGAGTTCCCCTTTGCCACAGCCACACAAGCATTGTTGTACTTGTGACGGCCATTCTGACTAGAGTGAGGTAGACTCTTTTATGGATAAGGATGTTGAGAACTTTTACAAGTGTTTCCTGGCCATTTTTGCTCCTTCTTTTGAGAATTTTGTTTAGTTCCACAGTCCATTTTTAAATTGGGTTGTTTATGTTCTTACTGTTTAGAGGTTTGAGTTCTTGTATATTCTAGACACTAATCCTGTTAGATAAATAGCTGGCAAAGATTTTCTCCCATTCTGTGGGCTGTCTGTTAATTTGCTCCACCATTTCCTTTGCTATACAGACTACTTTTTTTAGTTTCATGAAATCCCATTTGTTGATTGTTGGGTCTTATTTCCTGTGCTACCAGAGTCTTATTCAGCGAGCCCTTACCTGCACCTGTAAGTCGAAGCGTGCTTCTTGCTTTTTACTCTAGCAGTTTCAGTGAATCAGGTCTTATGTTGATGCCCTAAATCCATTTGGAGTTGAGTTTTGTGCAGGATGAGAGATAGGGATCTAGGCAAGGGATACTTCCTTATGAGTTTCCGAAGGCCCTGGAAGTCTCCAAAATAACACAGGCTATTGCCATTGCTCTTGGTTACCTACCATACCTTGCTGAAGACACCATATATTTTGTCATAGGACATAGAGACATCAATTTCAAATTGACTGGGAAACTTCCTCTCTGCTAGCCAGCTTTCTTAATATTGGAAGGTATTATGCAGGTTGCTGGGGGGGTGGGGCGGGCAGAAAAAACATTAATGGTCTTACCCAGTGCTGGACCCTGAATGCTGCAAATAGCTGCTGGCAAGATGTGTCAACTGAGACAATAGTGTTACAACTGTCATGGGCTAACTAACCACTTTCTGGTTGTATTTCAGATCTGCTCCATAGGAGGGAATTTAATGTCTAGTACTGTAATCCTAAGCAAAAGCCTATGGCTGAGAAGGTCATAGGCCCTAGGGCAGAGTCTGCTTTTGTTTTTTTTGCTAAATGGTCAGGCTGTCTTAGTGCCTTCTAAATGTTTATGCTTACACCCTTGGACCTGGGCTGCTTTCAGTTTTGGTCAGAGAAGCTTCTTTTTGCGATGCGCAGCAGTTGATAGAGAGATGAATAACTAGTCAAAGTGCTGAGCATAAGAAACTGAGTGCTCATCCCTAAACAGGACACCTATATCAGCCCCACCACAAAGGGGCAGGGAACATGGCAGAAGAGGAGGAAGAAGAGTACTGTGAATGCTCCCTCCCCTGGTATGGCAAGGCTATCCCACTCATGAACTCACAGCAGCTGTGGTTACCTGCACACGAGCTACATGAGAGCAAGCCAGCCAAAATGCCAACACAGGCGGGGCAGAGGAGCTTTTGGCAGTGGCTAGTGGCCAGGGGGAAGGAAAAGAGTCTTTATTGAGGATATGGCAATTAACAGATTTCCCATGCTCCAGTGGGTGGCCCACACATGCATGCATGAGTGGCACTAACTTAGTATAGCAGGTTATCGACAAAAGACATGACTATCTCAAAAAGACCAAAAAAAAAAAAAAAAAAAAAAGACATGAAGTTGGGAGTGGGGCATGTTGGGGGATAATGTTGGGAGGGGTGGAGGGGGAAGTAGGGGTAGATATGCTATTTCATTGTACACATGTATAAAATTATCTAAAATAAAGATTTTTGAAAAAAGAATGGAAACAATAATGAAGTATCAAGCCCATGGGTTTACTGAATTACTAAATAACTTAGGTTGTTCTTTACATTTTAACTGGTAATACATATTCAAGAAGTTGACTCTAATTAAACTGCCTTAATTAAAATAGGTTTTTTTTTTTTTTTCGGTATTTTTGAGACAGGGTCTCCCTGTAGCCCTAGCTGTCCTAGAACTCGCTATGTAGACCAGGCTGGGCTCAAACTCATAGCGATCCACCTGCCTCTGCCTCCCAAGTGCTGGGATTAAAGATGTGTGTCACTACGCCCAGCTCTAAAGTAGTTTTTTAAAACTTTATTAATTTTATGTGTGAGTGCATTCCCGCATGTATGTAAGTGCACCTGTGTAGTATAATGCCCATGGAGGTCAGAAAAGGGTGTTGGATCCCCTGGAACTGGAGTTACGGATACTTGTTAGCTGCCATG